CTGAAGGTGCATTTGGTGACCCTGGGGAAGATGCGCGTCATGGGGTCAACTCTGTTCTCGGGGTCCATGTCGGGGAAGTTGATGACCTCAGTGCCATAGGTCATGAAGGTGCCGTCCAAGAAGAAGTCGGTGAAGTAGATGTTGCCGACGACCACCACCAGGCACAGCGCCTCGCACAGGAAGAACCTGCCGGAGTTAATGGAAGGAGGTGAAGAAAATATAACGATGAGAACGCCACTAATTGCGATCACAACAGATGCTACCGCCGCTGATGATCGTACCACCAATAACATTCTAAAAATAAATAAATAAAATAGAGATATTTATAAGGCAAGGGGTTCAGTCGTCTCGTTAAAAGGCCCTTCCGTAAATCCAAACAACTCGCATCACCAGCCAGAACACGCCATCAAAGAGCGCAATATCGATGGGCGTCACGTAATGCGCCCTGAAAGAATATTCATAACGACACGCGATATCTGCCTTGCCAATGTAACCTATAAGTCGGCCCCGTAAACATTCCCTTAAAAGAACAACGCTGCTTTTGAGGCGCGAGTAAAGGCCGTTGCAGAGGAATGTGATCGCCGCCTCGCGCTCTCCGCATAGCAATTCACCCTCGAAGAAAGTCTGGCGCGAGGTCTGCCTTCGAGTGGAACGGGGAATGGGTTATAATCACACCGGCCGATGGAGTAAATACAGGCGGTGTTGACATAGCGTCCGCCGCGGCTCTCACCTGCGGCCAGCGCTACCTGCCGCCAGCCGCACCTGCTTCCCTAACGCTGCTGGATCATCCTTCGAAGCTGAGCAACAATCGTGAACTAAAAATAAAGCTAAGAAGTAAAAAGTATAAGATCTAAAAACATGTTATCTCGAAAATCTGTAATGATACAGCTGGATCTTGGTACCAAACCTTCGCCAGAAATTATTTAAAAAAATGGTAACTCGTTATCATAACAACCAAGACTACTGCACGGTAACAGCTTTCCTTTTACTACTTCGCTCAGCTGTAGAAACAACAACACCGACAGCACAAACCCCATTCTCCATCCCTGACTAGCCTAGAACTTCCCTCCCCGTCCCCGACTAGCCTAGAACCTCCCCAACTAGTATTCTACCCATACCCAAAATTTCGCAAGGAAAGCACGCCTGCTTCAAAAGGCCTGTCAGCTGATATTTCAATACATCCAACACTCCATTTACACAAGAGAAAACACACGAAACTTCGAAGGGACACGAATCAAAGAAACGGTTATGGAGAAAAAGGAAAAAGAAAAACGGAAAAAAAAATTAAAAATACCCGCGCTAGACACCCAAAAACTAGCACAATACACCAGGAACAAACGGACACCATCCCAAACTGCGTGACTGAGGGACTAATCAAAGCTGACACGCTGTAATTAGGTAGTTCATGTGTCGTCATCTAGAACTGGCAGCTCTACCCCTCCCCTCCCCTCCCCCCTCTTTGCTCTCAATTTTACAGCGTTCGAAGTGAAATAAGAACCTCCTCTTCTTCCCCCTCTTTCTCTTTGGAGATGATGTCAAGATGCAGGAGATAAATAAGGGGAAAGAAGAGGAAAGTGGAGAGTAGAGTGCGAGTGGGTGGGTGAACGGAGAAGACGACAGAGGGAGGCAGAGAGAGGAAAAGGGGAGGAGAGAGGAAAGGAAAAAAGAAGAAAGAGAGGAAAGGAGAAAAAAAGAGAGAAAAAGAGAGAAGAAGAGAGGACAGAGGAAAGGAGAAAAAGAGAGGGAGAGATGGAGGAAAGGAGAAAAGAGGAGAGATGGAAGAAAGGGAAAGAGAGGGCGAGATGGAAGAAAAGGGAAAAGGAGAAGGGCGAGATGGAGAAAAGGGAAAAGAGATGGAGGAAAGGGAAAGGAGAGGGAAAAGGGAAAAGGAGAAGGAGGAAAAGGGAAAAGGGAGGAAAAGGGAAAAGGGAAAAGGAGAGGGAGAGATGAAGGGAGAGGATGAGATGGAGGAAAAGGAGAGATGAAGGGAGAGGATGAGATGAGGGAGGAGAGATGAAGGAGAGGATGAGATGAGAAAAAGAAGGAGAGATGAAGGGAGAGGATGAGATGGAGAGGTAGTGTGAAGGAGGAAGGGAGAGGAAGTGTGCTGGAGGAAGAGAGAGACGAGAAGGGGAAGGAAGAAAAAATACGACCTGGGATAGGAATACATTCTCACGACGCTAACAATCTGGGACTACACTCCAACACTTCCAATATTGTACAAACCAGTCCACAAAACCGGCCTACATTCCGATACTATTGTACACGTTATATCTAACCTATACATACCGCAAACCCCGTCCTCCCATTCCATAAGTGCCATTTGGGTCATCATAACAAGCCGATCGGACAAACCACCAATTTCGGACAAACCGCCCATTTCGCAACCTAGCAGAAGGAATAATATGCATTAACCATGACAACCCGATGAGACAATAACAAGGTTCCGGAAAGAATGGAAATTAGGAGAGATTTCAACGCCGCTCAGGTGGTGATACTTCCCCTTTTAGTACAAGAGGACGACGCAAACAACACACACGTCACTGAGTCGCATGGAAAGTCCCTCTCTCCAGAAAAACAACAAACAAGAGACGGAAAATTACAAGAAGCAAACGTAGTCCCCGCTCTCCCGGGTGAATTACACGGGGCTATTTTGCATGCCTTGTCCGACCGGAGGCGAGCGACGAGAAATCAATCGGATAGACTCAGGATTCGAAGCGGAGAAGAATTAATAAATCCGAGAACAATTCACAACTTGGAACCTTGTCCGGCGGTCGTTCAAATTCAGGGAACGTACGCAAGGACTGTATTTTTATCAATTTGTTTTAGAATACGAGAAACGAACACGCGCAAAAAAACGGAGGGGAACATGTGCGGCTTATGTCGTGACAGAGCACATTCTAACGCGCCGCTGTCCTCCCCGACCTAAACACAGCTTCCTTGCATCACACCTCCACCTGTTCTGTTCCCTTCCCCCTTCTATTTTTAAATACCCATTACCAGAATCATATGTTTACACCTCAACTCGAAAACCTAACAGGAATACCCTCAACTCCTCGCAACATCTCAAAAAATGAAGAAAAAAATCCACCTCTCTTCCCTCCGTCATAGTTCGTCCTTGACGTCCCTCTCGCTCTCCCTCACTGCAGGCTGTCCCCGCGGTGGCCAGGAGCCAAGACAGTGCGATGTCCAAGCGGCCTACTCACCGCCGCCACAACCGGTCCCTGGCCAACGCCCGGACAGGTCTCCTAAGACACTGATACAACTACATCCAGGAAGTGTACGGATAAAACTTTTATTTTCATAATCAGCTGAGGCTTTGAGATCCCGGTGTTCGGGAGTAACGTTGCGGGATAGTAATATATACATATATATAGGAGAGAGAGAGGGGAGGGGAAGAGAGGAAGGAGAGGGGAAAGAGAGGAAGGGAGGGGGAGGGGAAGAGAGGAAGAGAGGGAGAGGAGGGAGGAGAGGGAGAGAGAAGAGAGGAAGGAGAGGAGGGAAGAGAGGGGAGAGGGGGAGGGGAAGAGAGAAGGAGAGGGGAAGGAAGAGAGGGAAGGAGAGGAGGGGAAGTGGGGTGGGGAGGGGAGAGAGAAAGGGGAGATGGGTGGGGAGGGGAGAGAAAGGGAGATGGGGTGGGGAGGGGAGAGAAAGGGAGATGGGGGTGGGGAGGGAGAGAAAGGGAGATGGGGTGGGGAGGGGAAAGGGAGATGGGTGGGAGGGAGAGAAAGGAGATGGGTGGGGGGAGGGAGAGAAAGGAAGATGGGGTGGAGGGGAGAGAAAGAAGATGGGTGGGGAGGAGGGATGGGGTGGGAGAGAGAGAAAGGGAGATGGGAGGGGGGAGGGGGGAGAGAGAAAGGGAGATGGGGAGGGGAGAGAGAGAAAGGAGAGGGGAGGGGGTAGATAGAGAGGGAGAGAAAGAGGGAGAGGGGGAGAGAAAGACGGAGGGGGAGAAAAAGAGGGAGAGGGGGAGCGAAAGAGAGAACGACAGAATTAAAGAGGAAACGACAGAAAGAGCCAACAAGTAAAATATAAAAGCTAATCCACATACAAGCGTACCAGCGTGACCAAGGCTACCGCACGCCTGACTCATTGTGAGAGTGACCAGAGTTCGCATCCCGGCCACCTGGTGATCGTCTTGCCCAGATGTACCACTGTGGAGGTCACCGTGGCGGTATGGGATGCTGCTATACATACGCATAGGCCTGCATGTTGTAAAGAGCTTCAATGAGGTTGATAGCGATGAGAAGAGAGGATAAAAGGAGTGTGTGGGTGAAAAAGGGAGATAATGCAGCGATTAAAAAAAGAGAGAAAGGGAGAAAAGTATAACTGAGAACAAAGAAAAAGAAAATATGAAAAAGATAAGGATATGTGGCTTCATCCCTGAGTGAAGTAGACAGACGCCTCACCCGAGCCACTGGCGGTTTTCGAATCTAGGCCTATCACAAGTTTATCTCCAGGGGGAACTTTCTGGTCAATTCTACCTTGGTCTAAGTAAATAGATATTCCTAAGAACAAGATAACGATAAGGCTCTCGGCATGCGAAAACAGTCGGCTAAATCCATGAAACCAAGAAAACGGGGTAGGCTAGTACAAGTGTCCCCCAGCTTCTAAATAATTATTTTAGGATAATAAAATTGAAATAAAGATAAAAGTTTGAGCAGATTTACCCTCCTCTACCTCGAGAGTCCGATCAAGCGACCATTGGGTCTAATAAATGAAGGACCTACTGATAGTGCGGTAGGTTCCGCCAGTCTTATTGGCTAAGGGGGAGGGGCTACAAGTGTGGCTGGCTCTCCTGGTATAAATAATAAGCTCACAAAAAGGCCTATGACTTATATAACCCGGGTTGTTAACAGAAGTGTAATTAGGCATATGTGGAAACGGCGGTTAGATCACTCGTGGGGCCCCGCTATTTTTTTTTTTTTTTTATTACTCGTAAGGGCCTCCTATATTTTTTGGTATCTTCTTATTATATATTGGCGTCGTTTGCGGGGGGGGAGGGAGAGAGGAGAGAGAGGGGAAGAGGAGAGTGGGAGGGAGAGGAGAGAGAGGGAGAGGGAGAGGGAGAGAGGAGAGGAGAGGAGAGGAGAGGAGAGAGGGAGAGGGAGGAGAGGAGGAGGAGAGAGAGGAGAGGAGAGAGGAGAGGAAGAGAGAGAGAGAGAGAGAGAGAGAGAGAAGAGAGAGAAGAGAGAGAGAGAGAGAGAGAGAGAGAGAGAGAGAGAGAGAGTGCCCAGTCTTCCATCCGAAATTTGGGCGGTGATAAATCCCCCCCCCCCCTCCCCACAGCCACTCCACTGGTTACTATGGAAAGCAAACTAGTCCTGAGATAACGAAACTAACCTGGGAAACAGATGTAGGCAAACATCCCTGTTCTAAATTGTTCGGCGATAATTCAAATACGAAACATTATAATCTAATGTCTCAATCTTAGAAACTTTAAATGTGTTTAGTACTTAACGATAATTCAAATTCTAGAAACCAGTGGATCTCCAACTAAATGTATGCGAGTTTTCAAAACAAATTAACGGTTTCTCTCTGTCTCCAAGAGCGCTTTTGAGTAAGTATGAATGGGGGGAGAAGAAAAGAGGGGGGAGAGGGAGAGAGCGTGAATGTGAGGGTGTGTGCATCCGAGATTTCTTGTCTAGTAGGAAATATAACCTTCGTAAGTGTGGTCATATGGGATCTGCAACTCGCGACTGTATTCAGAACTAAGTTCGATAGAATGCATCTATAAAATACAGAAAGCTAATACATCCAAGCAGCAACTAATGTAATACAAGGTCGGTGTTACGCGTACGTCAGCCATACCCGATTTCTCGCGGTTAGCCGTACGGCATAGATATGTATATGCACATACAAACGTTATTACCAGGTGATAAGCACGAACCTAACCTAAACTAAGTGAGTTTTATCATCTCGTGTCGAAACGCCGCCATCTTGTTTGTTTCGCCACGCATGCGCAGGACACCAATCTGGGGCTTTTCTGTCGTACTCGTAGTCAGTTCCATAATATAAATGCAACAACTATACATCATTTCATGACCAAAACGTTGCTCCTCTTGGACAGCGGCGACATCAAGTAGTTCTGAAAATTTATGCAATTTAACACTAACTTGACAAGATTTCTCCACTGGCGTAACAAGATAAATCAGGTTCGCTTTAGCTTGTTACAAAACAACGCCTTCACAACATCAAAATACGTAAAAGTTTTGTAGAACATGACTACCTCGCCTTGGTTTCGGAATAATGACACTTAAACATCGCTATTATGAAGCCGTCTCCAAGATCCCTTCAATTATGCAGCATTTCCAACTACACAGGTTACACACGTTGCTTACTAGCCGTGGTCCTCCTTTGCATTTGAAGGCCTCTCAGTAAAATAATTTAAGTAAACAGAATATTTCAAATAACTGATCCAGACCGCGCGATGGCAAAATCCGAAATGATTCGGAGACTTGCCGGGCTTGCCGTCGTGGAAGCAGCAAAAGGAGAAATAATTATTACCATCCCCGACAACCCTTTCATTCCAAAGCGTCTTGACAACACCAAATAACCGAGTGTCCAGATCATCTTGCCATTACTGCTTCCGGCGTTCTCGTGTTTGGCCTTTTCTTCAGCGTTCATTGATCCTGCAAACTTCTTTTTTTTAAGTTGCTAATATTACGTCAGCCGTAGTGGTTGGGCTGGAATCCTGCGACTAAAAAATGCCGGTCAATGACAAAGCCGCGTTCAGGTTAGGGTTTCGACGCCGTAGATTCCGCGAGACGTAACCGCAAACCCTGTCTCTCTGGTAAATGCAACTCATTCTCCTGGTTTTAGCGTTGATCCCTTATGCTGGTGGTTTATTATCTACTACGGTGAACAAGACAGTACAAGACGTACGATTCTTATGCATAAAAACCCTCAACTACCTTGACAACGATCACTGTGGCTGTCTACGTGACCGAATCCCAACACTGAGCGGTTGTCGAATCCCGCTCATTATAGTCCTTGTTGAAATTATACCATTCTCGTATGCCATTTCTCCTTCCCCTTTCTGGGTTGCTTGCCATTATAACTGTCGAAAGGTTATACTCCTCACCTGGTTTGTGGTGGTGAATAGATGCCTCGTATAATTAATTCAAATCAATCAGAGCCAACTACAGACCTGCGGAATTCCCTTCCAAAGGGAAAATATACATGCATTTCCTTCTACAATCAATATATTAACGATATGCAACATTAAAAAATTATCAATTTATAAGTAGTCACCCTGCTTTACCTTATAGCCCAGTTCATGTGCATGTGGAGGTGCTTGATCATGTACTGCGACAAGATCTTGTGCTTCTTGTGCCTCTGGCTGTCATCAAGCGTGAGTTTGTCGAGGCCAGCAAGGATGGTGGTGAAGAGCCCGCCTTCCATGTTTTTCCAAAGGTACCTCGGGATGTAAAACATGATCGCCTGGAGTACTAGGACGAAAGGCACCCACTGGTAGTAAGCGTGGTATTTGATCTCATCCTCGTCGTCGTGACTGCCCACGCCCGGGTATGCCACGCCGTCGCCGAGGGGCGCGTCCCAGTGCCTCGGCACGCTGAAGGTGGACATGATGAAGCAAAAGGTGTTGAGGACATTGCCTGGCACTGCTTTCGAAATGCACTGGATAGGATTGCCTATGTACTCACGCGCCGTGACTAAGGCACTGGATATGAGGAACACCACAAATGTCACTCGGTAATGCAAGTGAAACACTGCATTGTCCACCTGAGCATTGTGTTTCTTTAAGATCTTTGCCGCTGCTACGTACTTCAACATGATGGCGGCCTAATGCGTGTAGGTTACCGACTTTCAAGCACAAAGCACTGATGGAAACGTCATTCACACGCGTCCGAGAATCCACTGTCCAGATGTCTATGTTTCACTCGTTAAGATAATTCGACGGGGAACTTCACTCAACCTCTTAACCGGAAAGAAGCTCCCGAGTTAGAGAAACCTAACTGCGAGTCCACATGAAGTCAGGATGGCGAGCAAGTCCACCCTCCCCGTCCAACAGTTTGCGAGCCACTGCGAGCCTCGGGTAACTCGGGTCCTACAGCTGACGAAACACAAACTACTCCACTCCGGCTGCCAACTAGTATTAACGCCAACGACAGCGCCACACTCTATCCCTTCTCGTTATCGGTTTTAATTCACGGATTCGCTGTTTTGTGAATTGACTAATTAGATGATATTCGTAAGTTATGGGTACTGCAGTCAGCATGGATATTTTTTTCTAATTAACTTGATCAAACATACACGGAAACGCGACGACACGAGGAATCCCAATTTAAAGTTCAGGACAAAAAGAAACTGAAAAACGGAGAGAAGGAAATAATTCATCATGAAAATAAGGATGTATTATTAGCAATGCAAATTTCTCAGTGCGTTAGAATCTCAGCAAAAAAATCTTACTGACTGACAACTGAATGCTCTTACACCAGGATTCCACTACATGCGTGAGTCACGCTCTGACATTGACTTGTTAGTATTATTACTTGATAACTTAGCAACAAACTGCGCATATGGCAACAGTAATTTTGTAAAGATCGCACTCGGTTTCCCATATGCTTGGGTATACATGCGTCACGTAGGCCTACAGCGCGACCGCTGTTTCCGCTCCTTTGTACGTATTTAAAAATCTTCGTTAGTTGCCTTATTTTTTCGGCCAAGGTTATTTGCGTCGAATCGTTGGTAGTCTTTAAAATAAGTATGCGTCATTTGTGTTTTTAACTGTGCAGGGATATACGCTAAATATAAAATATAAAAAAATGTAAATGCGTTTAGGCAGCAACACCCCCCAAAGAGAAGGCTTGGGAGAGGTGTGGTGGGGGGGGGGATGGCAGAGGGAAATGGGGGTGCGCTGGGAGAAAGTGACCTACACAATCATTCGATTCGATTTATAAAGCAAAAGCGAAATACGAACTGTAATTCAGAGTGTAGTTGTTGCATTCTTGTCACGTGATACCTTTGAGTGCAAGCGAACCAATGTCTAAATAGCTCACTAATCCAGTTTAAGTAATCTTCAAGCAGACGAGAAGCGGTGCTTGTTTACACGCTAACATAAGCCTACTGCGGATAGCATTTCAGACCCCCCCTTTCCTGGACCAAGCACAGCCATCGCTGGTACCTCACTACCTATGAACATAAACTCGTCTGGAGTATATGATTTGTATAAATTAATATGCTTGCTTCATTATATTTGGTCCATACTGTCAACATTTGTTCTTGATTACAACTAATGCAGTTTTGGTTATCATAAATCGGGGCTTTAGGGCATCTTAACCTTTAACCACAAAGTTAACGTCCGTATACCCTACTGCCATAAAGTGCCCTATACCCCCTCTATGACCCTTATACCCCGTGAAAGACGAGGGGGGGTTATAGTCCTTTGGTCGCCTGGCAACAACTGTTATGGACCATTCAGTATACTATCTTTCTCTTCATTTTGATGCTGTGGAATATTTCCACTGGTAATAATGGGTTGCCTAAGGGGTACCTCTGGGAAAAGATCACTGATCACTATATTTAGTCGATGCTGGGGTAAAAGCTATTTTTCTTTGTTTAGATATTTACATTTTAAAATATATTACTGTTATGTTTGCTAATTAAAATTAAACCGGTAGAAGATATTCGTTGTATTCCGTAAGTTAAGTAGAACATCGAATGATTACGTATCTTACATCAGCATTAAATTTGGTGGCGAACTTTACCGCAAAAATCGACAATTATGAAACAGCATTCAGTGAAAAGAAAATATTCCTGACAATAGCTTTAAACCTCAATGAATTGAAAAGTCAGCGATATCTGGCAACTCCGCATGTATGAGGAGCAATTTCAGAAGTTGGTCTGTCTGCCAATACAGACAACAGCTGCGTCCGAAGCCAGCAACATCTGGATTTCCACGTGACATAGTCTGCAAGAGCTATAACACCGACCTTGGCACTGAATTGCTCGTATAATTTACACATCCTAATCGGCGCAGTGTAACAAAGGAACGATATTCGCGTGGTTTAATTTTGCATAACTGAGTTAGAATTACACGGACATCAAGCAACGAATGTATGCACAGTTACGTGTATTAAAACAAGAGATTACCACTTGGCAGAAGGAAGTGAACATAACCAAAAGCCGAAAGGTTCTTACATTGAGTAACGTGCACTCGTAAACGTACAGAGAAAAGTATCAAACCGTCTGCATGCCTTCATACAATTTGCGGTGCGTGTGGTCGTCACCCAGGACATCCTCTGAGACTTAAAGCTTCATGTGGAGGAAGTTCTCGAAGGCCAGAGATACGATGTTTGTCGGTGACTTTGCAAGTACGAGGTCTACCGTCTAGAAGTAAAAGTTCGTTGAGGAGACTGCTCATTGGCGGGGTGGGGCGTCTGTGCGGTCTTTGTTTTGACTGGAGCGGCGACCCCCGACACCTGCTCTACTTCCTCACGCAGATGACTGCTGTATCATTTTCATTTCTCTCTCTCTCTCCTCTCCCTCATTTCTGTCTCTCTCTGTCTCTCTGTCTCTGTCTCTGTCTGTCTCTGTCTCTGTCTCTGTCTCTGTCTCTGTCTCTGTCTCTCTCTGTCTCTGTCTCTGTTCTCCTCTGTCTCTCTGTCTCTGTCTCTCTCTTCTCTCTCTCTCTCTCTCTCTCTCTCTCTCTCTCTCTCTCTCTCTCTCTCTCTCTCTCTCTCTCTCTCTCTCTCTCTCTCTCTCTCTCTCTCTCTCTCTCTCTCTCTCTCTCTCTCTCTCTCTCTCTCTCTCTCTCTCTCTCTCTCTCTCTCTCTCTCTCTCTCTCTCTCTCTCTCTCTCTTCTCTCCTCTCTCTCTCTCTCTCTGCTTCTGTCTCTCTCCCCTCTCCCCCTCTCCCCCTCTCTCTCTCTCTGCGCCTCTGTCTCTCTCCCCTCTCCCCTCCTCCCCCCTCTCTCTCTCTTCTCTCTCTCTCTATATATATATATATATATATATAATATATATATATATATATATATATATTTATATATGTATATATATGAATATATTTATGAATATAAATTTATACATATGAATATATTTATGAATATTTATGTAAATACATATAAATATATATGTATGTATATAACATATATATGAAATATATATGTAAATACATATGAATATATGTATATGTATGCATATTATGATTATATATGTATGCATATTATATATGATATATATATATATGTATGCAATAATATATATATATATATATATATATATATATATATATATATATATATTATATGCACACACACACGTATTCCTGCAACGTTCACATGTATTGCACTCTGTCATTATCTCTCTCGGCAATGGAAATGAATATAAGCAGATCCAGAGTTCCAAGAAGTAAAATAAGTTACTTCAAATAACCTTTAGTTCCCGTCGGGAGATTTCAACACAACCTCATGTGTGGAAACATACACGAAATAGTTGGTCGGTCGGCTGTATGTGTACACGCATGTGCACATTCTTTCGTTCGTATGTGTTCACTCCTTGATGCATGCATGTAGACGTGGTTGCGCGGAGGCCGAAGCACGTATGATACATCTCATGCGAAGGAGGGAGAGTGCATGATGAAACGTAACAGAAGGTCGTGTTTGGCCTGCGCGTTCCAGAAACTCGATCGCCTTCTCGGAGCTCCGGCCAAAACGGGGAAAGTTCAGACATACACGAAACTGGTTAAGAAGAATACGTACTTTACGGTAACAAGTCGTGATATCCGGATGGGGTTGGTGAGGGAAGGTGCGAAGGAGACCGTCGTTTTCGCTCAGATAAAGATAACAGTTTATCGCATCTTCGAGAGAAACATTAGCGAAGATAACTTACTAACTTCCTTCCTTAACACAGAATTGATATCCTGAGAAAACACATCTCTTGTCTCTGAGTCAGAAGCCGGACCAGAGGACAGAACCAGTCAAACAAAGAAAAGAAAAGAGAGAGAGAGAAAAAAAAAAAACGGTCAAGCATTAATCTTCGTAATCTAATAGTGTCGCGGAGGCAACAGGAGCCGGCTGAAAGGATGCCCTTGTGAGGCGTCAGGCTTCGTTTTCTCGTCGCAGGAGACGTTGTGTTTCCACTCCGGTCAAACTCTCTCGAAAAGGAGAAAACGAAAGAAGAAAAAAATGATACTAAAGAAGAACGATAGATATAGTTATGGTACAGTATCAACATGGTAAATTTAACGCATATGTCCTCACTACAAAGGCATAATATAATGATAACGACTCATTTTCTCCAAGAGCCGTCGGGAGCATCGTTAACTATGTTGTTTTTAATCGCTTTATCAGCTATGTTCACAGTGCTGACGGCTTTTAAGCACAATTGCCTTTCCTTGCCACTCTCTATTGTGAGTTTCTACCAACACTAACAGCTCTCTTGGTTCTCAGACGTAATGCGACCCTTGAACTTAACTTTTTAATCCCTTTTTTTTATCGAGAATGTCCATACTGATTCTAATATTTCCGAATCTCTAATGGATATTCCTGTCTTTGTGTATGGCGCACTGATAACATTTCTCTTTATTTATCTAATTTTTTCCCTACACAGAATTTGTTACACCTTTCCCATCACTCAGATTCGAGAATGCTGATATCTCTTTTGTCTCTGATGTTACCCTGGGACTCTACTGTGATCTGGATGGATGAAGTATGAACTGGTTAGACAGCAGAATCCACCTGTCATTCAAGCCTTATTTATGTGTCTGGATCATCTGTACGGAGAGTTCCTATTTCACGGGAAAGTCAAGACCGGGCACATAGCAGAAAATTCGCAAATGCCCCTTGCACAACGCCTCGTAAACATTTAAAGGGAAGCAAACACAAACCTTAATGTCATGATGAACAGTGGAGGTCCTGCATGACTTGCACAATGTTAATGGCATCTTGAGTAGTCTTCTGTAACCCGACCTCCCCAACAACTATAATGGTTTCTTCTAGAATCACCGGGGATTCAATTGTAGAAAATGTTTTGCATGTCAATGAATATACGCGAGAAAAATAGATGTATAACTAAAGCCACTGACATAATAGTTCAGTG